AATAATGTATAAATTGGAAAAAAAATCACAAATTTGGTCCTCAGTGAGTAAATTTGTTTATGGTATCTACATTGCATGAATTCTGATAATCGGATCGTAAATAATATCTTTTATAATCCAGACTTGGACATTATTCAAATAATATCACACGATATATTATCTAATTAATATAAATTATCTTATTTAGCTGAACGTTGTTTGGAATAACTGTGTTAACTTATTCGAGTGTGAAAATGATTTTTCCCCAGATTATTGTTTATTATCTTATTTTTTATTTTGCGTTTGAATGAATTTTTGTTCGAATAATTTCTGACATAGTTTTCAATCCTTGTACGTCGATACTATACATTATATACATCTCAGATAATTTTATGAGATTCACATTTATTCTATTCAAATGGTCGAATTATCTCGAGTAAAAGATTCTAATTTAAAATGAAGTGAAATGAAGTTTCTACGTCTGAAATAACAATAATGAATAAAAATGTGTCCAAGCCTGTTACAATTGCGATTTATTTACAAAATCCCGGCAATCGATCAAATTTGCAATTACATAAATATCGAGCAAATAAATACAAGTATCAATTTCGACGAACAGAATGATAAACAAGAAAAAAAAAATAACACGGTTCTCACATTTCCCATGGATCGAAGTACGAATAAAAAGCTTTCGAACATTAAATCGCGTAACCGTGATTTATCACTTCACTCGGAATAATCGGCCGTCGCGTTTGAAATCAATGATATCGCAATGATGCAACTGCGAGAAAAAGTTTAGCCCCCCCCCCAACCTCCCCGTTACTCGATACTCCGTAAAAACGGGAGCGTGGCGATAATTATTGAGAAGCACGAGATTAATTCGATGGCACAGCAGAGAAAGTGTATACCCGCTGATATATATTTTTATCACGTTTCGAACGTTATATTTTATTCCGCGAGGTTCACTGCCGTCTCGTCGGACTAGAAAACGTACGAATTACACCGACATTCAATTGCAAATATTCAACAACACTCGGCCGCTCCGAGTCAAGCAGTCGGGCAAGCTAACATTTTCGTACACGCTTCGTTTGTTCTTTAATTGCGCGTGTTATCAAGGGACGACCACTGTCGTAGACTTCATTTTTCACGCTCGCTTAAACGAGTTCCGGTCGACGAATTTTCGTGAAACACGCGCGCACGATAAAAATTAACCGGAGATTGTCCTCATAATTTGTGCACGGTGTAACATGTTGAATATCTGCGTGACAAACGCGTTCTATACACCTGTTTACGCTTTCTATGTATATGCTACTGTGACGGTGCTTAAGTAGTGATGTATAACTTCAGATTTCACCCAACTCAGAATTACTTGTATCAAAGGTGTACAACACTACTCCCACTTTATTAAAGATCGTATATTGTATATTCTAACAGTTTAAATGCATGAGCAAACACGTAGGAGTTAATTATTCCGTTTTTCTATTCACCGGTTACGCAACTTTTTAACTACGCTAGATTTCATAGTGAGCAGTTGAACGTGGACTAATTGAGAGAACTGCACAGATTGACGATTGACAGTGAAGAAGCATTTATTGAATTCATTAGCGGTTCTTTATAAGTTTCGTTATCTTCATGAAGGAAGGAGAGATCTTCTGGTAAAAAGTGGTTTTCACTGGTTCTAAGCTGGTCATACTCTCACGAATATATCTCTGAAGTTGTGACAGATATCACTGGATATTTGCTCATTCCAAAGAAATAATTGCTAGAACATTGATATGATTCTCTTGTGATTTCATTATGATTTGTTTCGTTTAATTATGTTCGTCTATATTCACTTTAATATCTTAAACACGAAATTAGTGATCGGCATGGACACCAATTTTAAATTATCCGACTCGACTGCGGCAGAGAGCATGAAAATTCAAGAATTTACAAACTCTACAAGAATACGTGAAATATCTAAAGTGGAGTACTCGTTGTAGCTTTGTATAGAGGAAACAAATTTCTACACTGCTTTCGTTTCTTTAAATTTGTTTATAAAAGTGTACGAAATTGCATCTAATGATAGAGTGGAAGAAAATGAGTTAGAAAAATAATTTTCAAATTTTCAAATTTTCAAATTCGATGGTACACTACGGTATGAGGAAGAAAAAAAATTATAAAAATAAAGAATTTCCACTCGTGATTTCAATTTTTTCTCACATTATTTTTCCATGCAATTCCAAGGGACGATTCTGTCCCCAAAGAAATATCAAAATTAATTTTCATCGAGTATAATTGATCTGAGGAATCCATCCTGATGTAAGTCGCCGAGTTGTTTACTTTGAACAAAATGATTAATACAATTTCCTCGCATGATTTTGTTGTTCAGTTGTATTATATTTACAGCAATATCTCGACGTGAAATTAACAACATGTGTGTACACACGCAATACAAGCCAAAATTCAAAGTTTAGGTAAAGAAAAGATAAAATGAAAAATTAATATTTGACTTTATCATGCCAACCATAAAACGTAGGATTCAAAAGTTGAAGAAACATTTTAACATTCTACGCGATCATATAACAAAATGTTAATAAAATGAAACTTTATACATAACACATAGTTTGAAAATCTTCGAAAACTTGGAAAGTAATAAATTATGGTTTACGGTAGACAACAGAGCCGAAAAATTACGGGACAAATTGAACAGAGCAACAAGAAAAACATGCCCAAAATGAAAGTAAGAAAGAAAAGGGAAGAAAAGAATATTTAAACAAATTAATAGAAAGAATGCCTCGTACAAATTCAAGCGATCATATTCGTGAAACGAAAATATAGAATTAATTACTCACTTCTTAATAAGACCTTTGACACGCAATAATTTGCATGTTCACATTACACGTTTATATACGCGCATTTATATTACACTTTCACATTATGAGGATTGAATACGTGACAAATTTCATTTCATAATGCACTGTAAATGATTAATGTAATTCGTAATCATATCTATTGAGCGTATTATGTGACGATTCATGAACATACATCCCTTTCCATCAAAAAGTTCCCCATCAAGCACGTATTTCGGAAACGTTGAAATCTTTGCTATTTGCCAATTAAATTAAAATCGTTAAATCCGATGTGATTCGAATGAACGCAGTAGCGGTTTTATACCTCAAAGAACGTTTTATTTGGAATACTTGCGTTTAATCGAGAACAGCTTAGTATCTCTCACAAGGGTAGATAAAGAAAATGTGTGCGATCTTTTACGATCGTCGCAAAAAGCACGTGTTAATGGTATTCGTACGCTTCAATGGAACGACAATCCGCTAAGAGCTACCACAGCCAAACAGGCGTGATCGTTTAATAGCTAACGATTGTCTCCGGAAACGTGGAGATACGGGAGCGAGATTCGCGCAGGCAAGATTAACGCAGACTTTAAACACGTGGATGCGTACAAATCGTTCGTAGGGGATGTTGCAATTATATGCAGCTGCACGTATTCTGCACGAATCTAAACGTGCCTACGACACTGAAGTACATATTGTGCCACGTGGCCTGGTGTGCGTAAAGCAAACGCGTGCAACGCCTCCTGCTAACGTGCCGATCTGCAATTCACTCCACGATCGAATCGTCAATTGCGAAGGAGACAAATGAAAAACATCGCTCGCAGGTACATGTTCATAAAGATAGAGCGAAATATTCATAGAGCACGCTTAAATAAGTTTTCGATAAACTTGGATAAACTAAGGAGAGGAAGATGAAAATGATGGGTGAAAAACTGTGACGAACAGTATTCGCGATAGATGGATTATGGAGTTTAGTTTTCATCTCTTGGTTAATTATCTGTTGTTGATCTGATCGCGAATATTAATTATCTGTTGGAATTTATAACGGAAACTAGTGAGCTGAAAACAAAAATCGGATGAATGCATGTTCGTCGAATTTTCAGAATCTTTCATCCCTTTTAATCCTAATGAGTCATATAGCTATAAGCATGACCCGAATGTGTGAATATATGAATCTGATGACGGATGACTTTCGTCTGTGCTGATATTAAATTATATCTAACTGAACTTTTCCAGAAGCATGTTATTGTTATTGATTAATGTGAAACCAAAAAGTTTTCTTGAAAAGTATATGGATCACGACTTGTCACAATGTATAAATAGACTACGGATTTTGGAAACATAATTTTTAATAAAAACCGAATTTGGGTGAAAAATTATATCTCCTACCAAATATTATAAAAAGCAGTTTGAATATTTTGTATACTTTTTTGTATCACGTGCATCCTGTGCACATTTTTTATCTTTAAATTTCCCACAAATGCATAAAAATCTGCAGTCTACTTAAATAAAGTAACGTTCTTCAAAGTAGATATAAGTAATATAGAGTAGAATTGTGTTCAATCGAAAATATTCAGTGGTGAGTTAATGTTTTGCATAGTACGTACTCATCGATAATTTCCACGAACAATGTATGTGGAAAACCTGACGTAATTTGTTAAACTAAAAAATATAATACTGATATTTTTCCGGAATCTTCTAGAAATTTTCCAGAAACTCAAAAATTTTTCAAAAAACAACTTCTCAAGGATTAAATCACTTACTCAAAAAGGACTGAAAAGATTAGAATGTTACATTTTTTAACAGAGCGTACTATATTATTTTTTGATATTTTGTGATTGCAGTATCTATATAGTCACATTTGTACTAGACAATTGCAACTGAAAGGCCGTTCAACTAAAAATTAGCCAGGTCGTTCAACCAAAAATTGACCAGGTCGTTCGACCAAAAATAAACTAATTGCTTCTGGTTGAACTATCAAAAGTCATTTCAACTTGCTTGACACTGTATTTGTACGTAGCTTACGTATATTGGTTTTATTTTCATATTTCGGAGTGACGATCTCTCGTTCTGTCACGTGTCAATTAAAACTGGCATTTATATTAGAAAATGGCTTTGTTCTGGCTTTGTTCTGTTAGTGACATATTTTTCTATTTGAGTTTGCTACGTAGCAGGGAACTAAAAGGGACTAAATTGACCGGATGTTTAAAACGGTCCCATGAGTTGCCAATATCTGTAATATAAACAGTTTTTATGTGATTTTTGTATACATAGAACCATTATTTAACTACGCTTTCAAAGTACCATTTTTATAGTTTCACAAATAAAATACCCTTTAAACATAAAATTTTTTTCAATTTTTTCCCCCTCTAAAACCAAAGGAAACGAAATTGGGAACTGTTGTTTTTAACAAACAAAAAACGTACGCACATGTATATTTTTTCACTTCGTTCGCATGAACTTTTACGGAACACTGATTGCAAAGTTTCGTTAATAAACTTTAAAAGCGATCATACGTGGCAATTTTCTCAGACTAAAAAGTCGATTTTATTTCGAGCAAGTGCTTCTAGGGAACGACAATTTGACATCTCATTCTACAATTCGTATTGTTGTAGGATTCATAATATTTTATAATTTCTATTTGTATAAATATACTTTTCTTTGTTTTTACAAATAGCAGTTCTTACGACACTGATTATAATATTACAGTGTAAGATGCAATATTAACTACGCTAGTTCTTCCAGATTAAAACGATTTTATTTCGAGCAAATATACTGAAAGATCTTCTGGCGAACGAAATTCGACCATCCCTCACCCCTTCATCTATCAATATGGCAAAACCGATTGGCTGCGATATCGATGCCTGCAGAGAATCACGGGTCACGCAAAGTTCAATAACAATTTTCGTCGGAAAACGTTTCCCATTAATTCGAGTATGACGTTATTAACTACGCGCGCCAGTTTCGAGTTTCGATTCCGCTCCGACGCGATTCGATGGTCACTTGGACGCATTTCCCGCGGACGAAAATGCAAATTTCATTAAACGAGCCTCGCTTAATGCCCGAATATTATTGCACCGTGGCTTTCCATAAGCTCTTGATTCATAAATAACATAACGACAGACATAAATTTTCAGTCGCCATGGCCGGCGGTCCTGATCAATCGCTCTTTTCCCTCGCTTTGTGCCCAAAACGGTGAACGAACTCCCGAGAAGTAACGAAATTTTCGTTTCAATTCTAATGCCGCGTTCGCACTGCTCGCTCGCGAGACCCTGTTCGCCGATAATGTGGACACCTCTAAACTGCCAACTGTAGTTCGTGGATAGCGAACAGTTGTTCGCTCAGCAGCGGATATTCGCGTCAAAGAGCTTATCCTCGAAGTCGAAAAGTCGAGTCGAGATAAAGACTCACGGTTTCGAATAC